GTTGAAAATAAGTGTATCGGTAAAGTTATATTCAGAAAGAATAAACAGTTTTATTAAGTAAGGACTTGTGTCGCTAAAGTTTCGTTGGAACGAAGTTACGGAAAGTTACTTAACAAGAGGAGACGTAACAATATTGATTTTCTGTAAAAGACAACACAGAAGTTCTACTAGATTATTGAGTGAATGCTGAGAAGAGACAATTGTTTGACCGTGTTTTTTGTTTAAGCATTGAAATAAAATAGACTTCATTTAGGTACTTAAAATTTTAAGAAGGTTAAAAATCTGCCCATGTAAGGCATGTTTGAGTGATAGGAATTATAAGGTTAGAGGTTCACACTTAAATATTAAGGGTTATAATGAATATTGGAAGTCCAGACCTAGACTTGTCTTTTGGAACTACTGGTCCTGTTCTGTGAGACAAACCTTTTAACTAGGTTCTGACAAGTATCTGGTACAGTTTGGTTCCACTGTTGGTTCATTAGCTTTGTTAGTTGATGATGACTGGAAGGAAATTGCCTCTCTCTCTCTCTTTATTTTAATTCAACTTGACAGATGATGCCACTGTGAATTTGTTACAAAGTTGTTTTCTGGTACATTTTTCACATATCTAACAATTGAATGCTTGAACACCAGTTTTGGTTGAGTTGAACTGTATTAGAAGCTGTACAACAGTTTCCAATATTATTGGTCTTGTGCATCGTAAGATATGCATAACTAAGTTTTGCACAAATTCATTATGTTTACTCTCTACAATCTCAGTAGCTTATAATCTATCTTCTCATACATTTATTATAGTCATAACTTTGTGGCATCTTTTACATATTTAAATGTCACTGATATACCTATCGTGAATGTGCTAATACTTATACTTACAGACTTCAGTTGCAGAAAATGGTAGGTGGGTCATGCCATATTTTCTAGAAATTTCCTAATGCTTTCGTTAAGGCATTGTATGTTAATTAGATTTAAAAAACATATTTTATATCACATGGTATGTAATAGTAATACATATATTACAGTGTAACAACTTTAAAAAAAAGATAAGATACGTGGTAAACCAATGTTGGTTGAGATATACATAGTAAAAATTAAAGAATAGGCTAAACAATTGCCAAGTTTTTTATATTTTTATTTGAAGAGGATGACGTTTCTAGCTAGAGCTTTTTTGTCAGATCATACAGCTTACAACAAAAGAATTTAAAAATTATGTGCATAGCATTTTGAGTGCAGAGTGTGAAATTTCTCTGTAAAATTACATCTTATACATAAATAAAACAGATTAAAATTTAAACAAAATATGGAAAAAGTGAGAATCTATAGGAAAGAAAAACATTATTTTAAACCAGATGGTTGTAGGATCCCATATTGTAGACGAATCTCCTTTCCAATCATTCTCTTTTGTGAATGTCTGTTCGAGCACTACTAAGTCCAAGAATTGAAAAGTCCTCAACTGTATGGTTCTTGATGGTGAAATATTTGCCTATAGGTGTAGTTTGGTTCTTCAGTTTAATATAGTTCAGATGTTCTCGTGCTCGATCACTGAGTCAGCAGCCCGTTTGTCAAATGTATAAGTTATTGCATTTTTTTGAAAATTGTGCAGTAAGGGATACATTCATTGGAGTATGTAAAGGATTGTCTTATGTTGAAAGTTGTGTTTTTTTCCTCATATATGTGTGGTCTGGCTTTTAAATACAATAACATAAACAAAGCTAGGCTGCTCACAGTAGGCATCTCACTCATTTCACCTTAGTCCACTCAGGGTAGGAAAGCCCTTGGCTATTACATGATTCACAAATTGAAAAATTATCTGTCTAATCAATTTGTGAATCATTTTTTATACATGTATGATACATTTTTGCTAATTAGATTTTGAATTGGTTCTCTTCTTTTCAAATAATGTTTTGACGGGTAACATTTTTCACAACCAGTGGAATTTTCTTATGTCTCATATTTTTACCTTATACAAAAAACATCAATAGTTAATTGCACATTGCTCAAAAAATCAAAATAACTTGTCCACACTTAAATAAAACCACCTGCCCAACAACATAAACTTGTATACCAGTAAAAACAACCTTACATTAAAACACAACTATAAACTGAAAGCAAATTAAATATATAAAATAAGTCCTTTAAAACAAGCTCAGTAAAGTAATATTTTCACAAACATAATCTAAAATAACACTTTCTAAAATTCAAAGCAAAAAAAATCTCCAACAAATTACTTAAAACCACCCAGCACTTACATAAAATCAAAACATAATATAATATCCCTAAAAAATTGCATACACACAATTGATTAAAATCTTACACATAAATAAAACACACACACATATATATATATATATATATATTCACACAAACACACACAAGAACTAATTAATTATATAAATCAATTAAATAAACAAATCATCCTAAAAGCACATATTTACAACTTAAGTGGAGAAGCTGGAACCCCAACAGCAAGTCCCCTAATAGAGCTGTAGAGTTAGGTTGCACCATGGTGGTCTTTCTCAAAAGCCTAAAAGAGTCCCCATAAGATTCTTCCAGAGATTATGAATGTTTTTCTCCAATTTTATTGGTGGCTTTCATTTTTTATCAGCCAATCTTCCTCTGAATTGTAGAGTGCCCATGCCTTCATCCTTCTGGCTGCCTGTTCTTGGTAGTGGTACTTTAGAATCATTAGCTGCCACACTGAGAAGTGCTCCTATATCTCAATGGGGGTACTAGTTGGCAGCTCTTACATCTCTGACCTTAATCCTAGAGTCTTGAAGAAATCTGATGATGAAATAAATACCATGGTGCCCATGATCATTGCTGCTTTAAGTGTGTGGTCCACAATCTAATTGGTTATAGTGGTGGATGCAATGCCTGGGTCAAAGTTACCCCTGGAGAAGAAGTTGGTGGACCTTCCTGCTTTGTTGATTTCCAGGAAAGTTCTGCTGGCTCAAAGGATATGATTGTCCCAACAGGGTGAACACACATCAGATGTATCCAATTCCTCTTTACAAAACACCTCCCAACATGGCACTTGGAATTCTTCTCCTGGTGTTCAGATTTTACTTTGAGTTTGAACTTATAGCTTTGGCACTTAAAAGTGTTGGATATGCAGTCTGAGTGGAACCCTCACTTTTTCTTCTTGCCTGAACAATGGTAGATGGTTACTTCAGTAGTTCTGGTGGCTTTAATACAGAGCTATGTGCTGCATCAGTTCCAGTGAGGTGAAGGAGAGGCCAATTCTTGTTGTGTTGGACAAGATGGAAACTCCATCAGATTACTAAAATCAAACATAAAATTCTTACCACAGTTAACTTCCATTGTCATC